AATTTTTACATTAGATACAACTTCTCCTTGTCGCCCTTATGTTACAACAAAGAAAGGATTGCATTTTAACAAAGATCCCAGCTCTTCCCTTGTAAGATTTTCAAAATCATTATATTTTGGTTTTTGACTTGAATTCACTACAGGATGCAGCTGAACAGTTCTATTATCCAGAACTTAGTAGAGAAAGCCTGAGATTGGAAAAATTTTTCCAATTTCCCTTGGAGCAAGAAACGGAAGTGATAGTCTTGGGAAAAAGACTATCAAATAACCAAATGGACAAATTTGGAACAGTTGCTAAAACTGTCAAATATTTTTGAGTCTAGTATTTTTGAAGTTCCTATAAAAATATTTTAACGTTTTTGGGATTTTCCACTGTTATTGTCTCTGTATTATCTATTTTTTTTTCTTCAGAGATAAATCTCTAGAAAAAGTTGATAATGAATGCTGTTTAATTGAAAACCCAAGAAAGTTTTTCAAACTTGACTGTAAGACAGTGATCAAAAACTTTTATCCAGTTCATAAGACTTGCGTTTGGGACTTTATTGATTCAATACATAAATTGATAAAAAAGTTATTAATCTAACATTTTAATCCTAAATTGGTTCATCAAGCTATCAATTTCTTTTCTTTTAGATGTAATTCAACAAACGATGGCAAAGATGGATAATTTTCACTCATCAAAAAGGCGCAAAAAAAACGTTTGCAACTATGCCGGAGCAGATATTTAATGGAAGAAGGGGTCATATGCAAACAATTTTTCCGCTTAGTAGAGCAAATGAACAATCTCCCTCTTAAAATTAATGAACAAACTCAAACAGTAAGGCCTGCATGTACTATACTCAAAGGTGTTGAAAGAAAAAAAAAACGCTTTTAACCAAGAGAACAATCTTAGGTTTGCTTTAACCAAGTGAACTAGCGTTTAAAGAGTTTGCTATTTCCTAATTAAATAGCAAAAACTGTGTTTTTGAATACTAAGATAATTTACTGTTCCGACTGCACTTCAATGTGTCAGATTTTTTTTGTTTTTGGACCAGATGATTAATTTACACCCTTTACTAAAACTTGAAGGGAGAGTTGTTCACATGTGCCGTTTTTTTAGAAAATTTTGGATCTGTTTTCTAATTTAAAAAATATAATTATAAAGCCTTACACATTTTTAGGCAAGCCACAAGAAAATTTAAATATGAAGACCCATGTTAACAGTTTCACCCTTAAGAGTTTATTCTTTTCTAACGAATGGTTGGCGAATGGTTCCAAGAAGTATTGGCGAATGGTTCCCAGAAAACTACAAAAAACTGATAATTTGTGTCGATTTTACGCAATTTATTCAGAATTTTTTTTGAAAATTCTACCAGAGAAGTTTGAATAAAATTCATGATGGGCTTGTTTTAAATTTTTTAAGTAATTTTAAGTAAATGTGTAGTTTTTTGTTTGTAGGTTTAAACTATGACAGTAAAAATACTATACGATGCAGTGATTTATATACTTTCTTTGTTTTTTGTTTTTTTTTCACAAAAAAATTGTTTTTTTTTGAAGTTTCAGGTAGCTGTTTCAAAAAGTAGGATTATCTAATAAATTAGTAAATAGGTCGATTTAATTAACAAATCTTATTGTGTTTTGAAGTTTATTTTTTTAAAACTGTTGCTCGAAAACTGTTACCATTGACTTACCATGTACCAAAAAACTAATAAAAAGACCTGCATTCCACAATCTACACGTAATTAATCAGTGATTTTTAACATTTAGATAACGCACGCCAAAATTTTTGCAAAAAAATTAGACATTTCCACACAAAAACCAAAAAAGTACCATTTTCTTTCTCTTACCATCACACTGAAACCTTACCAGTTGTATTTTCTATCTAAATACTTTGTAAACTCTAAACCCAATGTTAATACATAGTCTGGAGACCGAAAATCTAAGACGCATCTTAATACATGGGGTGTTCCATGCTTACCCCTGATCAGCCGCAACATCTATCACTGATAGACTTCTTGTCTTACAATTGAGTGAAGGGATGTTTGAGGCGGTGACTCATTTTGTGTTTTTTTTTCAACTTTAATATAGATAAATAGCCATAAATAATTGAAAAAACATCATTTATGATTATTGAGTTTGCTCTTGGTGAATTTTGGTTTTGGTATTTTTTTTATATAATCTGTGAAAACTTTTGAGAATTCTGTATCTATATCGTATGTTTGTTTTCGATGTTTAGGCATATTTGATTGTGGTGATAAAATTTCGATTCTGAATATACCGTAAAATGATTTTATATGACATATACGTTTGAGATAGTGATCAGGGATTTGTCGTTTTATTCTTATTTCAGGAGATTCTTGTTTACATGGGCTCTTTCCTATTTCGAAAAAAAATTACAATTAAGTTGTGTCAAAATTGTACTTGTCCTCGAGCGGGATCACTTTGTGATTGTATGAAAAATGGAAGTTTGTTGAAAATTTGATGTACTGTAGAACTGTTGTAACTCAATATGTCTTATTGGTTGATTCCAATTGTATAGGCGTATTGGTTTGTTAATGCATGATTTGTTTATTCTGCGTTTTCCTTGAAATGATGAGTGTGTTATAGCATCTGAGTCAGATAAAGTTTTGATTTTCTATCGGGTTTTTCTTGTTTATTGAATCTTTCAAGTCTTAAAGTTCCTGTATCGTGGTTGTTTCTTATTGTGAGACTGCGTTTCGTTTTTTGAAAATCTCCTTTTGATGATTTGCTTTTTTTGTCATAATTGTCTTTTTCTGTGTTTATCTTTTTGATCTTACAAATCCTATTGTTTGTCTGTGCTGTGTGATTACAAGATCGTATCTTTCGTTTTTAATTGAACAGTTATGTAAAATGAGCGTTTGTTTACTGCCTAGATTATCTCTTGACATAAGGTTTACTATGATGAATGCAATACTCGGGTGTTAGAGTTTCTATTTTCCCAAACAGTTAGTTCCTACGGTTTTTCTGTGCTTATTCTAACTTGGGGCATAAATTGTCGTAGTTGACGGGTTGGAGAGAGTATATAAATTCGTGAGTTTGATTTTTTACTTTTTCGTGACTAGGTTTTACTTTATGAATGACTTACCTAGGGGTTGTGATTTATGATCAAGAATTGGAGAATAGTAAATCAATCCACAAGGTTCAGGTATCATTAGAACACAGGTAGGTTGTTAGATACAATTTTACGACTTACTAATTATTTAACGGTTATAGCCCGGGTCATCTATGAGGAAGGGCTCATAGAAGAGTAACCGAAGTTCTTCACTTTCTATCTTAATTTAAATGGTTCGTTTTTCAAAAAATTCTATTAGTGCTGGGTCGTTCATAAAATTTGGAGAGTGAATCGACGTTTGAGGTCGTTAGACACTTTTAAAATCTTGGGGTGGGGAGAACAAAATTGTTCTGATTTGATCCAAGGGAAGCTTTGATGATCAGAAATTGAATAAAACAAATTTAGTTTTAAGTGAAATTAAAGATCCAAGGAAAACTTTGATGGTTTGTTTATGAAATAAAAGTGAATTATTAAAAAAAACTTAAAAGTTAAAGTTTATATGATATTAGTTTTTGCATTTATGCTGGTATGTTTTAGGTGATGAAGCTGGGATGAAAAAAAATGATGTGTGTGAATTTATGGAATTAACTATAATTTTTAATATTATCCAATTTTTGTATTTTTCTCAATGATTTATTCATTCAAAAGTTTTGATTAACTGCAGATTTTGGGGGGAACGACTTGTGTTCCTTTTATCAGTCATTATTGTTGAAATATTAAGTTTAGCACCAAATGAGTTGTTAAGAAATGATTTTTCAAATAATTCTCATGTCAATAAAGGAAAATCTAAATTTGCTGCATAAAGTATTTTAAATACAAAAACTTGTTCCGGTTTTTGTCGTACTATCATGTAGTAGATTGGTCCGTTGCCTGACTGTTGTTCACGCCTTGATCTTGGTTATTTTGTAATACTTGGTTCTTCTCGTATGGTTGGGAAAATTGGCGTAGGTTTATTGAGACATAGAGACATTTCTATTAAATTGTCTATCCCATCTAACATTGTTGCAAATTTGCAATTGTCTAATTCTAGGTTTAATTGTCTAATTCTAAGTTAATTAAGGTCTTGTTCGAGACGGATGGTCGCACAAGATGAAGTTTGACCTTTGGTCTGTACTCATAGAGTAATTTCAGATAAGGTACACCGCTTTTTGTCACGCTATCCTATTTTCGGCCAAATAGGTTCGAGCAACTTCTCTGTCTAATACCAATCTTAACTAACTTTTATATCTCCTAGTCTCAAAAGATCTAGTGTATACTGGTTTTCGCGAATTAGTTCTTGGAGTTTATCCAGAAGGAGAACAACTGTAGGCTAAAATTTATTCAAATTGTTCTAGTGCTGAAACTACAAGAAGTTTCAGCACTTACAAATAAGTATCAATGTTAGAGATGGAATATGATTGGTTAGTTAGTAATATTTTATAGTGATAGTTTTATCAATAATATAATTGTATTTATATCCAATTATAATTACTAGTTTAGAACTGGTTCCAAATTACTCGTCGGCTTGACTGTAACATTAACAAGTTGGTTCACAACCTATGGCTTAAAACCTTAGTAGAAATTAACCAAACCATTTGGAAGCACATAGCATTGTGGTCAGGCGTTCACTTTGTGATCGACAGATCGTGAAATCAATACCCTGCCATGGCAATGACATGTATGAACACAAGCTCTCACTTGACCTCTAGCTTCAGGTCTTCCACAACCTGACCAGTTTTGGCTGCAATTATGGTACAATGTGAAAATTGTAGATGCAAAAATACGACCTTCAGTCGCTAAGAAGAGCGTTGCTCAGCAAAAGAACTCAGTCCCGAATACCTTATAATTTTGAGTTTAATTGAATTTCATCTGCTGAAAATTACGTAAATAGAGTAAACAGACTCTATTTACGAAAATTACGTAAATAGAATCATCATCATTCCTCTTAAATCCGTCTAAATTTTTTTAGAGCCTAACCCGGTGCAAGCACTGCATTGTTACGATAACGACGAGAAGGAGATTAAATTGTCTTGGACTCAGCCGGCTTTTGGATCGATCCGTGGATTCGTAGTATCATATTGGGACAATGCAACCATTAATGTGACGAAGAAAAAGTAAGTTTCAGGGGAGTCTCTCCTCGCAAAAGCGCAGTGACCGAAAGCTATGCTAGCCAATCAGAAATCAGTATTTGGAAGTCTGAAAGAGATATGATGGGGTTCCAGTGGTTGCATAAGAGACATGATTGGCTATAACTTGAAGGGGAGCGATCACCGAAAAAACGCAACTTTCGGTTTTTATTTTTTTTGGCCAAAATAGGTTTTTATCGTGTTCTGGGGATGCTCGAAAAATCAAATTGGTCGACCTAAAAAAGCCAAAATTATCAAAAAAAAATTGAAAAAACATTGGATCCGCCGCTGAAGTCAGTTGATTGCATTTTTTGTTCAATTATTTTCTTGGTACTTTTTGGGTACTTTTTGTTTGAGAAAAAACAAAGCGTTTGCAAATATGCCGGAGCAGATATATAATGGAGGAAGGGGTCTTATGCGAACAATTTTCCCCCTTAGTAGAGCAAATGAACAATCTCCCTCTTAAAATTAAATGACAAACTCAAACAGTAAGGCCTGCATGTACTATGCTCAAATGTGATTGGATGAAAAAAAATGCTTTTAACGAAGTGAACAATCTTAGGTTTGCTTTAACCAAGTGAACAAGCGTTTGAAGAGTTTGCTATTTCCTAATGAAATAGCAAACACTGTGTTTTTGAATACTAAGATAATTTACTGTTCCGACTGCACTTCAATGTGTCTGATTTTTTTTTGTTTTTGGACCAGATGATTAATTTACACCCTTGAATGAAATTTGAAGGGAGAGTCTTCACTTGATTAAAAGTCTTATTTTGCAGCCAATAAGATTCGATTGTTCACGCAGGCCTTACTGCTTGGTTTTGAGTTTTTGTTTTAGGGAGGAAACTGTTCAATTGGTCATTTTTGGAGAAAAAATTGATCACATGGGCCGTTTTTTAGAAATTTTTGGATCAGTTTTCTAATTTAAAAAAATATAAATATGAAGTCTTACACATTTTTAGGAAAATTGAAATATGAAGGCCCATGTTAACAGTTTCACCCTAGACTATAATTATGAAATAATTTGCCCTTGAAATGATACGGAAAGTACAGTACTAAAAGCAGCTCCCAAAATGCGGATTTCTGATGTGCTTAAAATAAAGAAAACCGAAAAAGGGAGGAGATTCAATTCTACGTTTCAATTTCAATTATGCTTAACCGTTGAATAAGTTTATTAAAGGAGTGAAAAATAGTTACTAGGTGCCCGTACCCAACGGAGGCTGTTTTTCAATACAGAAATGTTACATAGATTATCTAGCCAAATTCCTGTACAGAAATGATCTATTTCTTTCTTAATGTAGAAATAAACAATTTCTGAAAAAAAAATCAGAAATCAGTTCATTGCTCAACGGCAACGAGCTAAACCTGCTTGGAGCTTACACAATAGCGGTGGCATTACAGTTCAAATTAAAGTTTGTTATAGCAAGTGTTGCTTTCCATTTAATAGATAAAACTAATCGATAGCATTAGGTCATGTGGTCGAGCGGTTAGCACAACCGCCTTCCTAAAGACAGAGTGGAGAATCCAGCCTCAGTCTTTTTAGTCCTCAATCTAGAAATAGTCTTGTATTAGCTAACTTCTGATCGGAAATAAGATGAAAAAAATTGAAGAAAATCCCTTCTTTATTTAAAGATTTCAAAAAAGATTTCTGACCAGAAACTAAGATTAGACATGAGGTACTTCAGATCAGAAATAAAGATTTTATTCGGTACGGGTGCCAAAGGGGGAAAGAGGAATAGTTAATGATATTTATCCAAGTGAACACTCGCTTTGATTTTTAACAATCTCCTCTCCTCATACCTATGGTGTCTACAAAAAAACCTCAATCTCTCTAAACAAATAAAATACAGTAAATTAATCTTAGAGTTCTGCGTTGAGAATTTTAATTTTGTTGCAATCTCATTGGTCGAAAATTTGACAAACTTAATATACTTAACAATCCGTATCAACTGAATCACCAAATAGATTGTTCACTTGTTCCAACGATGAACAAACATCAATTTTTTAGCCGTGGATGGATGAGTTACGTTGCCAGTGGTTTGACACCAGGTGTCAACTACACCTTTTTAGTCTACGCAGTCTGTGACGAAGAGGGGCTGGTCAGATCAGATGCCGTTGTCCTCGTGCAAGGAACAAGTAAAAATATTATTGTTGCGACGGACCAAGTAGACAATCTCCCCCTTAGCAGACAATCAATTTAGGGAGCAGAGACTTCACTCGGTCAAAAGTAATTTTTTTCAGCCAATCAGATTTGAGCATAGTACATTCAGGCCTCACAGCATGGTTTTGTCAATTAATGCTAGGGGGTAGACTGTTCACTTGCTCTATTTAGGGGGGAGATTGTTCACATTGGCCTTTCCGATTTTCAAAAAAGGGACGGAATATTTGTGCTGGGGGATAGTTTTTTTTCTCTACACAAATTTGGACTTTTTAACTAGCAATTTTAAACGGCAATTTTCTATATCAGTCGAATGGTACTTCCTGATCTGAAAATTTAAGTTTTTTTCCTGTGATCATTTTTCGCAGAAATATTGGGGTTTGAATATTGGCAAATTGGCCAGTTTGCAAATTTGGTATAGTTAATGCGCGGTATACTTTGTGCAAATAACCCGTACAAGACGACTTAATCCTTCCAAGTTGAAATGAGGCATGCTAATTGGTATATTGAATAAGACATTTTTTGAAAATTTTATCTATTTTGTGAAGCAAACAATGCAGTAGGAAATTTAGAGCTTTGTCCCAATACGAGCAACCAATCATTTTTATAGATTTTGAAGATGAAGAGGTTCAAGAAAGTATCGATTTGAATTGATTTAAAATTGATTTCACGCACTGGAGCTCCATAGGTAAGAATTTATTAAGTTTGAGTTTCATTGTTCTTGCCGATAATAGCGAATGGTGTCGATAAAACTGATCCAATTTGAATTTTATTCTATGTGTCTATAATTTTATTATATTTAAAGGAAAATGGAATATTTTGTGTTTGTCTATTGAAGCATTAAATCCATTGCAATTGATTGATATTGATAAGTTTTGACTTTTGTAGATAAAGACAATGAAACCCAGTTATAATCGACGTTTTTTCCAGTTTATTGAGAGTTGTTTTTTAAGCGTACAAGGTTGTTAAAAATAAGTTTCTTAACTTGCTCTTCAATTTGAACTTTTTCCTGTGCAACTTTGAAATTTGTTACGCATTTTATAATACCCAACTTGAAACTTTCACTCATTTTTTCAAATTCATTTAGGATTTCGGTGGGTGGAAGTAAAATAGATTAAGTTGACATGATTGTATTTGTGTATATAGATTTTTTATTCTAATTTTGAAAGAGAGCAAGCGCAGAAAAGTGCAGTTTTTTTGTGAAAATTTTCTAAAAGGTGCACCAAAATTGCAACCTTTTTTTCATTAATAATTTTTGTGCATATATGTTATCATGTAAAAAAAATTTTTAAATACTAAGTTTGAAATTTCCATCAAAAAGTTTGGGTGTTAGTGGTTGTGGGGAGTCAAGAATTAAAATGCTGCTAGGAGTTGTTTCTGGTAGGGATGTGAATTGGGTAAAGAACAAAAAGCAAGAGGATGGTAAAAGAGAAGATTGGTAAATATTTTTTTTGGAAGGGGGGGGGTGGCTATGTAATTGTTTTGAAAATAATGAAAGGTTCAGTACTCAAGTAACCCGTACACTCGTTTTGCACTTATTCTGCATAATTCATTTCGCAAAAATTCCGTTTACTTGGCTTCAAATGTATGTAGTAGTAGTAGGAGTAAAAGACTTTATATTTCTTGAGCAAACTTACATGTGGCACAATCGGCATTTTAAACAATAACAAAAAACGAATTTACGAATTTACTGCACGAGTTGCTGCGATTATACGGGTCGATCAAGAAAGTTATGAAGAGATTGGATACATCAGTTTTGAAAGCTTTTGGGTAATCAAATACAGAAATACGTGTCTCGATATGAAGTCTATTGGCTAGATAGCACACTCTGTGGTAAAACGAGGAATCAGTCCTTTTTAATCGACAACGCGTTATTTCAAGGGGCGTCAGGTTGCTGCGCCGAAGACGAGGTCGAGGGTATTTCAACTGCACATAGGACCAGATATCAATATCGCACTTTCCATTTACCAGTTTGTTTAACAAAATCAGATCATTTTATTGAAGCCTGAGAGATATAGGAAGCAGCTTTAGTCGACATAGACAATCAGTTGCTGAGTGCCGAAGCTCGCCGCCAATAATCCAGGTGCTCGCTCGATTCTGTAGTTGTTCCATTTGCTCAAAGTCGCCTAAATTAAAGGCAGCAACAGAAGAACCGTATAGCATACTCGAAACTATGTACACGTTGTAGAGTCGTAGCTTATTATCCCGTGGCGTGGTAAAAGGGATGTTACGTTCTAAGCGCAAAAACGTGCTAGAAGCAAGATTCAGGCGCTTTTGAACGTGGAAACTCCATGAAAGTGTGGATGATATGTAAATGCCAAGGTCTTTTACTTGATCAGAGGTCTCGACAACGTTGGCATCCATTTGGATAGTAGCATCAGTCGATGGGCAAGTAAATAAATTAGTTTTGTCAAGTTAAAATGCATATTGTTCACAAGGGCCCACTGCAGGAGAGATTTTGCATCTGATTGAATGCTGGCAAGCTTGCATGACATTATGAGTCAATTAAAATTTGATAAAACAATGGATTAAATCAATTTTTTGTTTCAATTTGTTGTCTGAGTGCCGCATGAGAATCGATTATAGTGTTAACATTTCACACCACAAAAAAAAACTATGATGGTGGACTTCGGGGGGAGGGGGCGGACTTCGGGGATGTGGATGGGGACGCTTTCTCTTCACACAGGGATTCGAGCCCTCACCAACCCAAACAGTCCCTCTTTCGGTTACTAATGGTTACATCCATTTTTGACTGACGAATCCTACAACTTTGTAAGGGCGCCTCTTTTGCCAAAAATATACTTATTCTGGGGAGCGCGCATCAAAAGAACGCAAGTTTTTGACAAAAGTTACCAAAAATTGACCAAAAATGGTATTTTGATCTGTTTTTTTAATGTGCTTGCGGAGCAAGTTTTTTTGTGACCAAATAGGGTCTTTATAGAGTTCGGGGAGCGTTTGGAAAATGAATTTGGTCGACACAAAAAAAGGGTCGGCAAATCTCTTAATACATTTTGAAAATCTACCTCTCTCGATGAAAACCTATATCCGGCCCTGAGCTTGATTCTTATGTATTGTTTTCATTAAAAAATCAGCTAACGGCACGTTGTTCAAAAACTTTCAAATTTAAATGGACAAAATATGAAGTAGCGAAACTTCTTTTTTTTAAGCTGGCTATTTGACTCACATGCCGATCCCTTGAGAATTAATGGTTTGCAGTAATTATTCTGCTCATGTATTTTTTGCTCCCAGAATTGTGTCAAAGAATTTACTGGAGTACAAACTTTCAATCAAACGTTTCCTTGGCCTTATTTTTAAAACTTTACTCGTCATTGATGTAGTCGTACAACCAATGCGTTTTTAACTATTTTAAATCAACTGAGTTCTTTGCCATATATGTTCTAACTCTCAAATTATAAAAGCTGATGTCCTTTTGTGAGAAAAACATATTTGCTTCATGAGATTAAGTTATAAGAGCACAGTCGAGTTGTATGGAAAAATTGAAAAAAAAAATCATATAATTAGTTTCATGAGGAGCATTTATGGCTAATTCGTGTGCTTGTTCTTTTTTATGAGAGTAACGGAGTTTTTTGGGGTGATTTTTTGTCACTGCAATTGCGCTAATTTTTCTAAATTTGTTTTTTGAACCATTTTCCGTTACATATACTCAGTAATTAAATTCAGTTTAGAATCATTTTTTCTTAAGTTCATCCTACAAACCCTAATTAATTTTAATTACTGGGTATAATTCAGGGTCAACCTTGCGTCTAAATACTCGCATCGACGTATTGAATGTAGAGGAAAAATTTTCACAAACATAAATTTATGAGTTAAATCAGCGCAATTAGCCTGAAGAAAAATCCACGCCAATTAATAGGATTCTGTTAATTTCTAAAGGAAAAGAGAAGCACGTGATTACAGATAAGCACTTAGCACAGTGGTAGGCGTTCATTTTGAAATCGTCAGATCGTGTATTCGATCCCATACAATGGCAATGATAGTGTGTGAGGACAAGCTCTCACTTGACCTCCAGATTCAGATCTACCACAACCTGACCAAATTTGGATGCAATAGTGGTACCACGTAAAACTTCTAGACGCAAAAAATACGGCCTTCAGTCGCAAAAAAAACAGTTTTGCTCAGCAAAATAACACTGTCTGGAATGTGGGGAGATAATACAAATGGACTATCCTCGACAGGACTGTTAAGGCCTACTGATAGCTCCTCTGCAATTCGCAGGAACTACAATTATTATTATAAGCACTCAGATTGGCCATAAGTGCTCCAAATTAAACTAATTATATGAATTTTTTGTCATATTTTCCGTTCAAATCGACTGTGCTCATATATATTGACTTCATGAAAAGTATTATTTTTCCACTAAAAGAAAGTAGTTTTTTGGAAAATAAGAACAGATATGACAAAAGATTTAAAATATTCAAATACGCATTGATTTTTAATTACAATCAGTGACGAAAAAAGTTTTATGCATCAAACCAAGGAGACTCGGGTACACTTTTTAAAAGCAAATCAAAAGCCATTACGAAGTTTTTTATTTAAAAAATTGTTTTTTTTTCAGGTTTTAAGCGAGATGAATTGATTAGTGTATAAAAAACAACAGGATGGCTCGTATTGAGACGATATCTTGACCTTCCAACGGCAGTTTATTTATTTAAAGAACAAGTAGAATGTCAAGATTTTGGGTTCTAACATAAGCCATCCTGTAATTTTTCGGCAGCTATGCAATAATCATTTTATCTCGCCTGATATCTGAAAAAAATGCTTTTATGAAGAAATTTTTTTATTGGTTTTTGATTTCTAACTGACTTGTTTTTGTTTCTGTTGAATTTTTTCTGGTACATTTTAGCTCCCACCAAACCAGATAAAATCACCGGGGCAGATAAAGTCACCAATTCGGATGGACGATGGTTCAACTTAACTGTGAGAGAGCCGAATGAGGGAAGTTGGAAGCGTTTCTTTGTCTCCGAAATTGGAGAGTTCTCGCAACAGCGAGACTTTACTCCCATCTCAGAATTAGACAACTTCCAATCTCTGCCAATTTATTTTGACGTCAAGTCGAATCACATCGATCTTAGATTTCCCAAATTTGGAACTGTCTATCAAGTTGTGGTGAAAACCTCGAGTGATTTCAATTTGAGCAGCCGTTCGAGTGAAACCACGTACCTGATCACGGGTAAGAATAATTAAATTAAATAACACTGTCTGGAATGTGGGGAGTTGATACAAATGGACTATCCTCGACAGGACTGTTAAGGCCTACTGATAGCTCCTCTGCGATTCGCAGTAACTACATTAAAAAAAAACATTTTCTGAAGGATATTTTTTCATGAGAAAAGAGTCAAATTTAAATGATCGGAATACTTTAAACAGTATGATACTAAGTGATATTCCAGCTTACTTTCATGTTTTATTAAGCAAAGTGAAAACCCTAATAGGGCGTGTGCTTTATTTCTGTCGATTTTTCAGGAAAAATGTTTTCACTCTCAAACTGGATTTTTTTGGGTTTATTGTTGTTTTCTTTTAAATCAAATTTGAATTTATTTGCTAAAAGAAAAGCAAAAATGCTCTCGCATTACAAAATAAAGAAGCACAGAACGTTCCGACCATATTCGTTTTAAACAAAAAATAGCAGAAAAAAACTCTTCTTTTCTTTTTTCTTTTTTTTCCAATTTGTCGTTGTTTGTGAACGGTGTGATTGGAAAACTGTACACACGGTGAAAAAAGTAGTAAATTAGGCATAATGGATATCAATTGTCCAAAAAAAATGAAAAACAAACAAAAAATTAAGAAAAAAAATTGAATTTTTTTTAGTGAAAACTATCAAGTTGGGACTATAGGTTTTGGAACTGATACAAGCAGTCTTGTTCACATTTAGTATAGTTATAATCATGAAAACAAAAAGAAAAAGTTTCTATCGGTCCAGTTGATCAATATCATTTGTAACAGTCTCTTGAAGTTGATGCAGAGTTGATATACATTTTTAATCAAAAACTTTTAACTAAGAAATAAACTTGAGTTTATTTGAGTTTTTTTAACAAGTAATTGTCGTTAAAAGGGGCTATGTTTTAGATATGAAACCGATAGAGTCGAAACCTGATGTGATTTTGAACTTCGACGATAAGATCTGTCTTCTGTGGAAATCACAGCGCAATATTTCTTATTTTAACAAACTCGAAATAGAGATTTGTCAGAATAATCGCCCTGTTTTCGAGGTCGAAGACACCGTTGAAGATCAGGTATGATTTGTTTGATTTGAAGAAAAAAAAACAATCACTAATAAGACCAGCAGATTTGTGGAGCAGGGGGGCGATTTCCCCTTCCCTAAGGGATTCGACCCCCTGTCAACCCAAAACGTCCCCCCTTTGTACTAATTTGAGGTATCCATTGTAAGCTGACGGACACTAAAAATTTTGAAGGCGCCTTCAGAGCCAGTAATTACTAATTTTGAGAAGAAGCGTGCGCCGAAAAAATGCGATTTTTTTATCAACCTTTTCAAAAAATGTCTGAAAAGGCCTTTTTGGCCTTTTTTTAAAACATTTTTGCCGAGTTAGAATATTTTTAGTGCTTGGGATCTTTTTACTGCATTGCGAGAGCTACGAAATCAACTTGGTCAATCTAAAAAAAGGCCCACAGTTTTTCAGAACTTTTTTGAAAATTCTTCCGTGCTGATGTAAACTATCTGGAGAAACCGCAAAAAAATTGAAATCTTAAACGCGTTTTTCTCAAACTGGGTTTACTTAAGACAAAATGACAGAGAAAATTTTTGCTTTACTTAATCTTTTTTCAGTCAATCGAAATGTACGCTAAAACTACAGGATCAATTGCAGACAAAATTATTTCAAAGTGAGCTTTTTATGTAGCTCCACAAAATTTAGCAAGGGCATAATCTCCGAAACTTTGTCCAAAAAGTTGTTAAGAGTAATGAACGTAGTGAAGACTCTCGTATAGCTATTGCTGATTTTTTTTTCAGGAAAAAGTCTTAAAAATTAGATGCATTTAGGTATATATGTTATTTTTTCGTACAATTGAAACTCATCAGCTGAAACTTACGTAAATAGCACTCTCCAAACACGAACGTTCAAACGGCGCAAACATTCGTGAACGATTTCTAGTTTCGGAAGTGGAATTTAGTTTTTAGATTTCCAGCGGAATAAAAACTTTACCTGTCGATCTAGTTTTCTCAAGTTGGGTTCTTTTTATCAAAAAAGCACCTATCAAAAATTAAGCTAGAAATTCAAAAAGCTCAAAGGGCATCTATTTTTTTACGTTGAAGTTCGAAAGTTGAGTTTTTTCAACAAAGATAGTGTTTTTTTATGTTTACTTGCATTCATTACTCTTTTCCAGTCTTCGATTGGCTTTGTTAAAAATTGTTTTTAAAGAAAAAAATTAGTTTTTCGACTGAAAAAAACTATCTATGTTGGCAATAACAGTAAATTCAATTTATTTTTTTTGCAAAAACCAGAAGATTATACAGTGCATCAACTTTGTGGAGCTACAAAAGAGGCTCAAGTTCAAATATGGAAAGGATACTCAAATATGGAAAGGATCCTACTTGGAAAGGATACTCTATACGGTGCAAGAAATGCAATTTCTGATTTCACCGTAAACGCCAGTGAGATCTCACTCAATGTAATTAAGAACATGCATGGTGACCAGTGGATTTGCACTCAGTGCCAAGAAGAGGAGACGGTTCCGGCCATGAGGGAAAAAGCAAAATCTTTGGACGCTATGTAGACGATATCTTGAGATCTGCGCAGAGTGACTCTATCGACAGCATCTAAGACAGTGTCTACACGCTTCATCACAACTTGGAATTTACTATCGAAAGGTTGAGAGACAACGGGATCCCTTTTCTGGACATGTCCGTAAAATGCCAGGATGCATGTGTGAGTACGATTTGGTATCAGAAACCCACAGATACTGGACTGATCCTTTCCCTCAGAGCCCTTGCACCGATTGGTCACAAACGCAACATAATTCAGGGCAGCATTCACCGCATCTTTAATGCCACATCGACATGGAACAGTTTTCATACTGGTATTCAAAAGGCTAAGAAGATATGGGAAGCAAACCAGTATCCACCCCAATTCTACAAACCCATCGTCAGATAAACTATTGATAAACTCTTGGGTCCAAAAATCAACATCACGGACAGGCAGAAGAAAGACAAAGGCCTGTTAACAATGTTCACTTCGCAAGACAGAGCCACTGTGAGTGACACGTTTAGAAGACGTGTGAACTATATCACTCGTGTCCCTGTTATTTTCACAACCCGGAAACTGAAAACTGCTGTCCGCTCTCTAAAATCCAAGATCCCAAATCATCTCTGTAGTAATGGGGTGTATCATATCACATGTCCCTCGCCACCAAACATTGTCTTCATCAGTTACTGTCTAAATTAAACTCAGTTGGAGAAAAACCCGTTATAGATTTCAATTTTTCAAAACTATTTCAAAGTGAGCTTTTTATGTAGCCCTGCGAAGTGTAGAAAGGGCATAATCTCCGAAACTTTGTCCAAAACGTTTTTAAGAGTAATGAACGTAGTGAAGACTCTCATATAGGTATTGCAGATTTTTTTTCAGTTTTTGCTCACTTTTTAACTGACTGAAAAAGAAACAAGCAAAAATGATTTATATTTGGGCAATTTTTGAGCCCGAATTTTGAAACAAAATTGCATAACTTTTCTAATTGTCTAAGCAAACATTGTCTTCATCATTTTTTGTCTTAGGTAATATCAGTTGGAGAGAAACGCGTTTTAGATTTCAACTTTTATTCGTTTTGTTCGAATAATTTACAGCAACACTGTATACAACAAACCTGAACAACTTATTCACAACCGTTGATTACTTTGATCGCATTGTTTCAGCAAGAAATTGGCCTCATTTGTTTGGAAACGTCGGAACTGTCATCTCGGTCGGAAGTGGTTCTCCAACTGACAACTATCACTGAAGAAAAAGCAAGAAGCAAATTTTATGAGAAATCCGAAAAGATCAACTTTACCTACGACCTTAATGAAGGTAATGTATACCCGTGAATAGGAGGGAATAATTCGAACTGCCGCCGAAAATAAGAGAAATAATTTCATCCGAAAAAATCTACATAAATCTCACATGGCTTCCCCAAAAACATCAAACGAAAAGTTATCCACCCTAATTTATTTTTCTATCAAAATGTTTCAACGCTCATTTCTTATTTCTTTCTTCTAATTGGCTGAAAATTGCAATTTAGAAATAGGTCAGCTCATCTTCGAAAACTCTAAAGAGGGGAAATGTTGAATTTTCCTGAAAAATTACATATTCTAAACTATAGCTCCGATCAGAAAGTTCTGTCGAATTTTTTTAAGTCGACCAAATTGATTTTCCGAGCCCTCCCAAAACACTATAAAGACCCTATTTTGACAATTTTTCTGCACCGTAGGCGAAATTAAAAAAAAAACAGGTCAAAAAAGCCGTTTTTGGGCGTTTTTGGAAAATTTTAGCATAAAAATTGCGTTTTTTTTGTCGCGCATTTTAGGGTTGATAAAGTTCGTGCAGAGCCCTGCTTCATTATTGCAGACGTTTTGATCATTTTCTCTTGGTCTGCGCAAAATTTTTTTGAAACTAGAAGTAAAGCTCCAGATTTGTCCTTGAGAACAGGCATTTCAAAACTGAAAATATAAAAGCTGAGAATATACAAAAAGAGCTCCCAAAGTTAATGATTGTTTGTGGGCTATGAAATACAAAAATTTCAAATCAGTTTTTGAAGTCTCAATTTTTTCAATTTATCCAATATATTTTATGCAAAGTTGTTCAGATTGGGCTTATAAAATATGCAATTGAACAAAAAACTCAAAAAACTCTTTTTCATTATTTATTCAAAATTTACATTAGGCAGTTGAAACTCCTTTTGGTGTCAAATTAACAACAATTTCGTCGAATCATGTCATGTATTGTCGGATGTGTGTATGTTGGGGCTAGATACTTTTGAGAAAAAATGCAATTATATTTTATTATAAAAGCATAATTTTATTAGAAAGTATTCGGGTTGCTGTGCAAATAGTGAATGCAGGAGCCTCCGACCACAATAATAAAAAATGACTATTTTTTCACAATTTTGTGTCGTTTACTGTGCTTGCTGTAATGAGAAAAATTAGACAAAAAGTTAGAGCGTAGACAATTGATATTAAATTGATGTGCTCCAATTTTTGCTGGAGTTAAACTAGTTTTTCTGGATTTAAAAGGTTTTTCATGACTTTTCCAATTAGAAAACACCTTATTTCGCGCTTTACTTGTTCGAAATTTGGTTAAAAATTAAAATTTACAAAGAAAAATTTGTTTTACCCTGGTACAAGTGTCCGGGAGTTAATTGGTCCTTTTCCGTTTGCAAAAATTGACTGACAAATAGAGTGGAATGATTACTAGAGTGTCTACTTGAACAGGGAGAGGGGATTTGTTTGTATATTTTTAACCGCTTTACTGTGAATATATCCTTTTCAGTTGTTATATTCTTTAATTGTTGTGATGAAATCATTTAATAGTTTCAGATAACTGAAAATAGATTCGGACAAGAACCAGTCCCCCTTGAAGGAAATGCAAAACTTGAGATTTCAGGAATCAACCCCTCTTGGTACTGACAGAAAGGAAGATAGGACCGATTTCAAAAACACTTCATTATGCTGAGCCGACCAAATGAAGAATCTAAAGCAACTATTATCCAGACATTCGAAACTACCAACTCAAAACAAATGGAAAGACTTAAAACTGAGGTGACTCAAACGATGAGTACAGAAGTGAACGAGTCGATAAAATATTTAGTCGACGAAATAATGGTGGACTTCAGAAAAAAAATTCCAATCTGAGGTGGAAGAAAACGCTACAAATTCTATTGGAAGCTGGATGGTTGGAATCGTACAATCGACGAGACAATGTAAGAATAACCGGCTTAAGTGAGGAAATTTTGTAATTTGAAAATCGCAAAGAATATGAACAGGGAAATGTAACGGTAACTAATGTGATCGACTTAGCGGACAAATTGATGCGACTTTTGATGAAAAAGATCGACTCCCTGTTGCAGATCGACTCCCAGGGCGCGGCACTCAGAGTAGGCCATTAATTGTCATGTTCTGCGAGATCGACTGCGAAAATCAATTTACTACGAAAAAAATGTTTGAGAGAAAATCAACAGCTGAGTTTTGTACGAGTATTGAGAGACATGAGCCGACAAAGGCTCAACTTTTTCAACTCGATGAGAAACGATGCCCGTATTGCGAACGACTTGACGTGTGAAGAGTTTATTTTCTTTCAGTAGGAAGGAAATGATCAGATTATTAAAACTGACTAATTCTTCGAGTGAGAAAAGCTGCTAGGCTACACTTACAAGATGTTATTCAATGCTCTGAGAAATTTTTTTTGAAATATTTCAGCAACAACCTAAACTGCAACAACGAAAAATCGTATATGCTAATCTTAATGTTTTACTGTCTAATGTGCTCTCCTTTAAAAACTTAGATTATGTTTAACAGAAACTTGGTTAAATGGAAATGACGATCTCAAAATGTATAGAATGAAAGGTTTTCACATCGCTATCACGAATAATAGAATAACAAGAGTTGGTGGAACCGTTTTGACGGAAAAAAAATCAATTTAATTGAAAAACTTGATAGTGGTTCGTCAGAATCCATCTCAATACTTGTTGAATGATTGGAAACAATTAAATAACTCAGCATTTGTTCCACCATTCTTCAATATAATTCAGTTTGTCGATGAACTTGATAAAGAATGATGAAATCTTTCTCGGTTTAGGTTACCAAAAACTTAGCTGGAAATTTTAATATCAATACTTAAAGTAAAGCGAGTAATAACACACAGCAATCTTACCTAGATTCATTAACAGTCAATGGATTTGAACTATTGAATAAGTCTGCAACTCGAATTAGTAATTCCTCAGAAACATGTATAGATCACTATAAAACACAAAATTTGGAAAATCCTACCATTGAATTAATAAAAAATGAATGCTTTTGCGACCACTATCCGGTAGTTTTAAAGTTTTGTATCTACATGAAAAAAATTCATCGTGTTATTGTTACAGTGATATGTCTTTTTTAACAAAAAAAAACTAAATGAAGGACTTCCTGCATGTTCTAAAAGAGAACTTGGAGATTTCCATTCTAACCAATCATGTAAGCATTAACTTTGCCTAATTTAATCTTAATGAATGCCTTCAGAAATCTTTAAACGTATTTGCTCCCATACGGGAATGTTGTTCTGAAAACAAGAATTTTGCTCCTTGGTTTCATAAAAACTTGAAATACTCAATCTTGAAATAAAAAAATCAAATATACAAATTATGCAAATCAGGACTGCAAAATACTGGCAAAAAACAAAATATTTTCTTAGTAAACGTTGGAAAGTTAAAAAAAATCAGAAAGGCCAAAAAAGTATTATTATTCTAAATTTTATGATTGTTTTGGAGACTCGAGACAAGTGTATAAGGTTTCAATTAAAATTAAACGTAAAATCCTTAAACCACAATACTCAAATTAGATGAAAGAATTTTGTCTGACATCCATCAAAAGCTAACACTTTCAATGAGTATTTCGTTGAGTATTTTCCAACTGTTGGCACCAAATTGGCTGACGAAATGAAACATATGAAGTTGTTGATCCAGTTTATCAGATTGATATAGCAAGTCAATAAACGTATCTTCTCAACAGCTCAGTTTTCGAGGTAATCCATGTTAAAATTAGCTTAAAATCTACGCAATTTATGGGATTGACGAAATTAGTAACGTTTTTCTCTTAAAAAGTCGTTTTGTGATAGCACCCTATTTAACATATTTGAGAAAACTTTCTTTTGCTTCTGGAATCTTTCCAGAAAACCTAAAATTAGCCAACGTTAACCTTTTTTCAAAGTTGATAGTAGAATTGAAAAAAGCAATCATCACTCAATATCACTTTTGAGTTGCTGCAGTGGAGTAATTGAAAAGATTATGCACTCTCGTTTGTACAATTACCATAAAAGAATGAAAAATTGTATCATCGTCAATTTGGTTTTCGACAGAAGTATGCAACGGAAGATGCACTAGCAGTAGTCTCGGAACAAATAAGATTAAACGTCGATAAAAACACAAAATGTAAATTTTGCTGATTTAAAAAATGGTTTTAATACATTTGAACACTTGATTCTGTTGAGGAAGCTCGAGATCTATGGAGTACGTGGAAACTGTTAAAGATGGTGTGAAAATTATTGTTTCAACAGTTCTCAATGTGTAAATGTGTATAACTATTTCTCTGATTGACTACCAATCACTACAGGTGTACCTCAAGGCTCTGTTTTAGGCCCTTTTATTTTTCTGAATTTTATAAATAGTATGCATCATGCAGTTTTAAATTAAAACGTGTTTTTTTGTTTCGCTGATGAAACAAATATATTGTACGATACTTCAAATTTCGAGGATTTTCAATTACATTTGACGAAATTTTCATCCTGGCTTTGCCTAAATAATTTGACTTAAACTCAGATAAAATTACCTCTCTAACTTTTGAAAAAAATAGAAGTGCTTCCTACCTTGGCGTCAACATTCTTGATTTCTATTATAAAGCTGACCCTTTTACAAAAACTTAGTGTCATCTTAGATGTTAACTCAAAGTTTTTTCAACAAATTCAGATAGTAAAATCGAATTTAGGGAGTCATTGCGGTATAATTTCAAAAATGAAATACTTTTTACCAACTGCAATTTTTCTCAAAAATTAACATTCGAAAACGAAACATTATGGTTTGCTCGTACATGGTGGCACGAATTTTGCTTTTTTGGATTAAAGTTTTTGCTCCAGCGAAAAACCAATCGCATGGTTTATTTCAAAAGGAAACATGATTCAATTACACAATCTTTTATTGACAACAAAATAATAACAATGCATGAGCTATTTGTTTACGATTTGTTGAAACTTAGTTTCAGCTTGTTGAATCAAAGACTTTCCATAAAGTTTTTAAATTCTATGTTTTCCTTAAAAGTTTTGCATATGAAACAAGTTTTTCAAAACATTTAACATTCGTACCGCCATTCTGTAAAAATAAAATGAAAACTTGTGCTTCAACAAACAGAGGAACAACACTTCTGATAATGATGAGTGAAAATAAATTGTTGCTGGGGAATAATGGAAAAGTGTCATAAAACGAAGAAAACGATTTCAAAAAAACTTACTCGAAATTAACGAATTGATACAGCATGAATTTCAGTATATATTCAGTTTATTGAAAATTTTTACCCAGGATTTAAGGCTAACTGATAATCAAGCTAGGGTTGCGTTTCTACCCTAAAAAATGAATTTCCTATTCCTTGCAGTTTTTGAGATATAGCTTTTTTTTCAAAAATTTTGAATCTTCAAAAAATCTTTGATTTTTTGAAAAATTTTGAAAAAGGACTCTGCTCTTAACACATAATACCAGATTATCAAAAAGATAAATGAGCTTGTCTAACTGCAGTTTTATACCCCTTTTTATTCCTTTCCAATTTAAACTATTCTAAAAAACAATTGTTATTTTTCACCTTTTTGATTAATCATTAATTTTTGAGGTTGTTAAGACATCGTATTTTATTATCGATAACAGCCTGGCTTGAGTGTATGCTACCGAGTTGTGCTAAATCACCAAAAAGATCAAAAAAACCGCTTTAAAAGTTTGAATTTTTTTTCCTTTTTTCATTATTATAATTTTTTTTCTAATATGAACTCTAATTTCTTCGAATAGAGGGTAGACCTTAAGTAGGTGCACAATGCGCCAGTCGTCTATCTTTTCCATTTTCATGTACTGATTTGAATGGTTCGATATCGTTTGTTTGAACTAGTTGGAAATAAATTGATGATTGTTGTTTGTATTTGCATGATTTTGGATAAACAAATTCTTCTTCTTCTTCTTCTTCTTCTTCTTCTTCTTACAATAGGGTAGCAGCTCGTTCCGAAGTACTTTAGGAGGGCCATAGTTAACAAGATCCCTGCAATAACCCTACATGTGATAAAAAATATGTTTGTGTAGTTCCAGAAGTGTACGTTGACTTGAGCGTGGACAGAAAAGATGAGTGCAGTCAGAGACAGTGTGTGCTATTGCTCAAATCGAGGTCACAGTCAATCATTCGAATCAGAGACCAAATCCAAATCCTATACGAGGTCAGTTATAGGAAAACGAAATCAATCATTAAGTTTATTTTCCCGTTTATGTATTCAATAGAGGAGCAAGCCACAAAAGCAAGCTACTAAAGATGGCAAGAAAAAAAATTGATCGCTGACATGAACTGAGAAACTTAGTTTTTTTCAGACCTTTGAAGGAAATTTTTAGAATTGAGGTGTTTTTTTTTCACCGTAAAAGTCCAGCTTCTACAACCAAAGATCGAACGATTTTTTCAATCGTGATTCGAGCTGCATTGAGTAATTCCAAAAACAATAATAACTGGTTGTCGAGAAAAAAGGGCCCATCGTTTCTTGTTCAGCATATTTGATAATAATTGTAGTTTCTGCGATTCACAGAGGGTCTACGAAAGGCTAGCACATAGTCCGTTTCTCTTATTTCCCCATATTCCGGATTGAAAATGTAGGGGCTCATGATCTCAGGCTGGGGTAGACCTGAAGCTAGAGGTCAAGTGAGAGCTTGTTTTCATTCACTATCATTGCCACGGCAGGGGATCGAATACACACGTAATGTGACGATCTCTGAGTGAACGCCTTATCAACAATAGATCAGGAAAAAACAACGAAGTTATTTGGTTTTTATTCTTTTCTTCAGGCAGCAACTGTGAGCGCGCCAAACTCAGTCGCATACAGGGGAGAGAAATCTGGAAAACTCTGCAACATAAGATTTGAGCAGCTTTCATGCACGGTTACAGTTGAAGGACTAGAAAGCGGCGAGGTTTACAAAGTCACAGGATCAATCTCCATCTATGGGAAAAAACTACCGGCGTCGGCCAGAACTCAAATTGAAACGAGTTTGTATTTTCCATGTTAACCGCAGTCCTTCTCTTCGGGTGTCTCTTAAAAATCGGGAAACTGCATCTACTTACGTCGTGATTTTTATAGGTTGTTTGGGGAAAAAATCAAGTTTTACAAGTACATCTTTGAAATTGATTGCATTGCGACGCCAAGCTCGGTTTTACAACTACTAATTACATATTTGTGCTTTCACGCGTCCGGATTCCACAGAAACACATTTTGCGTGTTTTAGAGGCTTATGTCAGTGGATTCCATAATCAAATGATCCCTAGTCAAGTTATTTTGTCTGTGGATTCCCTGTTTCATAATTGGTTTTTTGTTGATTTCGGATTTTTCCAAAATGGAATGCGAATTACGTTTTTCTTTAAATACATGTCTTTGTAAACTCCAAATTCTTTTTTAAACAAATGTTAACAAAAAAAATTGAAAACTTTTTCAATCTTTTGAATTTTTTTGAAAGTCGACTTTTTAAAACCGACTTTACATAGTTACAACCAATTTTTTGTGACTTAATTTTAAAAAAAAATATTAGATTGGTATCGGTCATGAAACACACACGCCAAGTTTTTTCTCTGGTGAAACTGAATTGAACAAAGATCTCAACTCATTTTTAAAAAAAAATAGCCATCGGTTCTTAAGCAAAAACCGTGTTTTTTTAATAAGAAGATAAGAAAAATGTGTCTATTAATCTAGTTGCCTTAAAGCCGTTTTTCGTATGAGGAAAATGAACTGAAGAGATTTGAGAAAATTTGGAGGCTAAATTAGATGATTTCTTAGGCGTTTCTTGAGTTTTGTTTAAAATTTTTAGTTACGCTTGGTCGTATAGATTGTGTGCTTTTTTATTTTTCCAGTATTACTCTTAACAATTGATCACGCTTGATTTTCGTTGTGATAAACTTGCATATAAAATCCTTATAACTCAGTTTTTTTCAGGATTTCTTATAGAAAGGTTAATTTGCTTTCGGATATCTAACTTGCAAATAATAATGCAAAAACTAACAAGCTTTTTCTTTCAAAATTCCCAATTGGCTCAAAACACTCAGTAATACTCCAATTTTCTCAAATTGAAAAGGTATTTAAAAAATTATATCAATCATAAAAGATTCTTGAAGCTCAAAAACATATATATCGTATTTGTGTCTATGAAAGTTTCAAAAAATTAGTTTTTTTTTAAACTGAAAAATATTATTCCTCTTTTGATTTCCTTTTTTTCTAGTTGGTGGCTGAAAAAAAAAAGTATCGAAGAAAAAATCATTAATTTTAGGGAGAGGGTTCCTTCGAGTATAAGCAGCAATTTTGTTAAAATTTCAATCAGAAACTTTTTTGTATCAGGGCAAACCTGAAAATGTCTGACTGCTCTGTACAGCTATGAAGTTATTTGTTGTTGTTTTTTATTGAGTTTTTTTCTTCCTTAATTGTGGAAAAAAATTGAACTTGATATCATGTGATTGAATAACCCGCAGTGACAGCAGTGGATAAAAATCTATTTTATAGAGAAAAACTTACAGATAAACGTAAGTATAGAATCGGTTTATCTACAACCATTTTGCGAACGATAAACGATTCTGTACAGATTGAATCAACTTTTTTTTCCACCAAAAATAAATGGATTTCAGTGCCAAAATTATCAATTTTTCTATTGTGTAAAACCTACATATTATATAATCTGTAGATAATCTGCATGTAATCAGTATAGAATCTTTATACAGTAAAAGCTGTAGATAGTCTGTAGATAATCTGTAAATAATCTGTATATAATCTGTATCTAATCGATTATATTGCCTGAAAGCTATAGGGGTCGTAAAAATTCAATTTGACCATTCAAAGTTTAAATTAATGATTTTGTTTTTAAATTCAACAAAAATTTGCAGTCAGGAAAAATCTTCCTCAGATTTATATTGAGCTGAACTCACTTTAGGAAAATTGGTTGCCGCAAACTACAAGTTTCAGGAGATCCCTCTTAGATTTCTTCAAAAGCCATTTAAAAGATCGACCTGTTCAGCACATTTTTTTGACAAAACGTCAATAAAAATTTAAAAAATTAATATAGAGCAATTTATTTTTTGCTGAAAATTTTTTTTCAGATCAAACTTCAGTACAAAAATTTCAATGATGGAAAATCGTAAATCGAGTGTGACCTTCTTATTATGATGGAAAACCGTAAATCGAGTGTGACCTTTTTATTATCCCTCTTCCCTATTTCAATATGGGAGGTTATTTGTTACAAAATGCAAATTTCACATACGCTAACCCATTCAATAAGTTCTTTAAAGGGCTTACAACTCGTTGCAAGGTACGACTCTCTTTAACTATATCCCCCTTTTGCAAAAGGGGTAAAATTCGTTGCTAGATACAAAAATCTCATATGCTTAACCGTTGATTTATTTATTTATAGGGGGATATTTGTTATTGGGTACGCGAGGGGGGATATTGTCAAAGAGATACTAAGATACCAAAGTACTATGGGGGGGGGGGAACAGTTAGGGCGATCCATCCGGAAATCTTGTGAAGTTTTGAATATTTCAGAGCCAGCTGACAAAATTCCACTGCTTGTGTATATTTTGCCTCCCATTGGGCTCCTCGTTCTTGTAGTCTCGGCTCTTGCTTCAATCATCATTTACAAGAAGATGAAAACAAGGTAACGTCACGTATGCATGTCGGGTCCAGGGCAAACATCCGATAGTTCAAACATCCGCTGTGTCAAGCAGCCTAACTTGTATAACAGTTACGTAATAATATACGACTTTAGTTTTTCAAACACTGGCCATAGTTCAATAGGCCGATTCCAATTTAGCCGAATTATCATATATATCAACTGTCTTAAATGAAATATCAACTGATGTGTGAATACAGCAGTTGAGCTAATTGTTGTTGATAGACCCAAAATTATTTTTACCGCCCCTGTGTCCACAATTATGGGTTTCAATTTGTTCCAAAGGGTAACAAAAGTTTGCTGAATATGTTAAATAAAGTTTTGTCAGAGTTGGGGTCGAAAAATTTAGAACTATGACAAAAAAAAGAGCCCATAATTTTTGAAAAAAAAATCTTGTCAAAATTACTCAATTAAGACAATTATTATAAGGAAAATTGAAAAATTGTTTAAAGCAAACAGACAGAGGAACAACGTTTGTTATAGATAAAAAGTAAGTTATCTTGTTTATTTATAGGAAAAACGAGTATGATGACAACCCATATGCCAATACCACCGAATTGATGCCGTCAAGGTAATTTATTTGAATTCACAGACATCTTTAAATCGAGCAGTAGATCGCATAGCTGACAAAGCGACAACTCGTCGAAATTGACCACTGGTCGACAGCGAAAACTCGCATTTTTTTTCTTAAAAAAGCGACAACTCGCGCCTGGTGATTATTCGTAGAAACCGAAAATTATAAGAAGACACTGGCCTCGCTTATCGACACGAGAGGAATAATGCGCCGCGTGAATCAGTTTTTGCCGTTGAATCGTTACCAGCTTACTGGATTGGTTCCTATAAAAAGCTGAGGTCTGAAATGTAATTTATTGAAACTTCCAAATACACAAAAATTTCGGTCACCCGCATTTGCGAGAGAAAGCAATCAATAATCAATGTAATCAACTCTTTGTAATCAGAAGATCAAGTCGGTGAATTATAAGTGGGCAGAAACTACTGAACTTTTAATTTAATTGTCTGGCACGAAATTTCTTAAGGTGTTTGAAGTATTTTTTGCTTGTCTAATTTCTGATTGAATTTCCGACCTTATTTCTGATGTAATTTCTAACATAGACTATTAACATCCAGAAAAAAATCACCTAATGGTGTTTGAACCCTCGATTAGTTCATGAGGCTACATGACCTGAAGGTTTCAATTACCCGGGTTGAACAAAAATGCAAATCATACAATTCTCATACATGGAAAAAAATGCTTATCATACACTTTTGGAAATTTCCGTTATTAGTGTATCCAAGTCTACGTTGTACACACAAAAATTAATTTTTGCACGCAAATTTTATTTTTGAAAAATGTTTTGTTGAGTACGAAACTCAATTTGCGGTTGAAAAAAAAAAACACACAAAATGTTTGCAGCTAATTTCAAAACTACTAGATTTCAAAATTTTGGCTAATTTCAAAAATTACGGCTAATTTAGTACGATACATCGAAATTTGAGCCGAAACAAGAAAAATTTTCTTCAGAAAATTGATGACACTATTTTAGCAAAATGCATAAAATTTGTATGACTAGTATTTTTTCACAGACTTAGCTTATGAAATTGTGTGATTAGCGTTTTTGGTCTATGGAGGTCAACCCGGATACTTGTACCAACCCAATTCAAAGTAATGCTTGTTATAACAGGTGTTATTTTGGATTTTTTTGCTGCGTTTTTTGTATGTACTCAATCAAAGTATGGTAGAATCAATATCTCTTTTCGGTAAATCTTGTTTCGGTTGAGAGGTGAACTGACATTAGGTCATTCTTTATAAAAAATTGTTTATTTCCAATATTAGATGAGAACTGAATCATAGTTACTGTCTAGAAAACACAGAAAGTTAGGTTAATTGGTATACTTAAAATTTTTCTACAAATTTAGAGCTTTTTTGATGTACGGGTACGCAGCTTGGCAACCAAAAAAAATGGGATCAACCATGTGAAGTACTTTTGTTTGTTGAGGTATCAAACATGCAAGCTAGTACCGCGTAATCTGCTTTTGCCAATTGTCACCTAGTCCAAAATTTTTGCCTGTATGCGTTGTCGCTCATACAAACATGTGGGAGCTTTCGCTTGATACGAGTTGTCGCATCGCGCTCATTACGATCTGGCAATATTTTGTTGATTGAAAAAAATTGATTATGTAAAAATCATTTACATCAATTAGGGCTGAAAACAACTAGTTATAATAACTGGTACAGTGTTGATTTAAATTATCAGGACAAAACAAACAAAACTTGACTTTTTGAACGCATTATTCTCAAGTTTGGTTAAAATTAGACAAAAAGTGAAGAGAACAAAAGTGTCTTCAAATTTCACCAGAGTTATTAAGGAGCATTTTTTCTCCAAAATCTCAACCAAACTTTTGGCTCAAAAACTGGATCCTTTTGACTTTTTTAATCAATCAAAACTTGCGCTGAAAATACTTTGTCAATAGAAGAAAAAATTATATCACAAGAAGCATCTTACACATCACAACAAACTTTAAGAAGGGTTAAATTTTTAAAAACCTGTAAAAAAAGTTATTTTTTGTCATTGCTTCTTAACCATTGACAATAATTATCGGTGTCGACAGAAAAATTTATTCAAAATTTTGCTTTTTACCGTTTTTTTTTCGAGCGCAGAATTTGATGGATAGTAAATAAATATTATTAAATATAGAACATATTTGTTTGCTAAATTTTTACGATTTGATGAACCTAGTGAAAATTTTAATTATGATTTTTCGTTTTTTTCGGCCGGGAAAATTCTTAAAAATTGTTCATGCTAAAGCCTAACTTTTGTGCGGTTTGGCTTATGATTTTCTCAGTTCATTTCTTTTTGTGATACAATGGATGCAAACTACACTATCGAACAGTAAACAGAAAAACTCTTGAAAAACATGATAGGCTTTTTTTTCAAACGAGAGTTTAAAAAATCGTGTTTTCAGCAGGGACTTTTTTGAAGATGATTTTTTATTTAAAGGAGTTTTGGAGCCAAGTATTTTTCTTTTTGAAACTCGAAACTTTATTTTTTTTGTAACAAAAGTCAGTAATTTTTGAAGCAGAAGTTTGATCTTTTGCAGTTAGTCTTTCGAAGTCGTATAAAATCTGTTCAAATTTCTTTGCAAATTTAAAAACAAATCTTCAAAAAGGAATCCGGAAATAATTCTAATTACGAAGGTGGGTTTTTTTTCTAAGATTTTCTGAAAAATTCTGTTTGATTTTGTTTTGATTTGATTTGTCATTGATTTTGTTTTGATTTGTCATTGATTTTGTTTTTGCAATTGAGCCGATTTTTATCAAAATCAAAACTTTTCTATCAAAACTTGCTTTTGAAACTCAAAAAAGTTTGAAAGCATCTACTGTTTTTTTAAGAATTCAAAAATTTAAGCAAATTCAAAGCAAAAATCTTTTTTTTTTCGCGGTTTCTTCATTTTAAATAATTTACACTCATAACAAACTTCTTCTAAGCGAACATGAAGAACCTAATCAATGAATTAGTTCTGGTACTTGAAGAGAAACCACAGTCAATTTTAGCTTTATTAAATAAAATGGTTAATACTTGGCGTTGAAGAGTATTGAATGGATGATCTTAAAAGTTATAACCCCTATGGAACCTAATAAAAGTTTACCAACTGCGAAATCAGCTAAACCAACAAGTAAGGGTATACAAACTTGGTTCCTCAATACGAACTTCCTTTTTTGCAATAGGGGTAAATAGATATTAAGTTTCTATAACAATAAAGAGTTTCATTGGTATCTCGATAACAGTTTTTACCGAATTAGCTTGGAACCCTTGTGAACTTTTCGACTATCTAAAAATGAAGCTTAGAAAATATATCACCTGCAAGCTCTTTTGAGCATATTTCTGGACAACCTCATGTGCGCTACATACATTCTTTTATGATGTTCAAAATTTAAGCGTAAAATTATTGAGCTCTGTGAACTCATCCCCATACCAAACATAGCCAATTTACAGTTGTAAAAGAATAGTGAACGTAAGGAAACAGAACAAAATCTGACTTAATTTTTGGAAAAAGACTTCAGTTTCGATTTTCAACATAAAAAAACATATGGCGTTAACCCTCTTTGATTTTCAAGATGATTTCATGTTTTTTTTTTTCGATAATATTAAATCAATTTGAGAAAACTGGATTAATAGGGCAAAATTTTCTTCCGCCGATTAATCTAAAAACTAAATTCCACTTTTGAAACTACAAGTCGTTCACGTTTTGTTGCGCCATTTTCACGTTCGTATGTTTCAGAGTTACATTTTAACAGTTGAAATTTAACTGAACTCATATGATGCATACATACCTAAGTGCACTTTTTAAAGCAAGAATATGTATGAATTAAAATCTGCGTAGTTAATAGAACATCTTTAGACTTTTTCCTCGAAAGAAAAAAAAACAAAGAATTATCACCAAGACCTATATAAAAGTCCATTCATTACTCCTAATAATCATTCCAGCTTGAAATTTGGCACGTTTATATGTCCCTAGAATCAGTTAAAGTGAAAATCTGCGCTGCTACGAGCAAAACTCTGACTGCTGCTTAACACAAAACGTTTTGCTTTTTTCAAGAAAAAATTTGATACAAAAATGTTTTTCTTTTTTCAAGAAAAGTTTTGATAAAAAAAGGTTTTGCTTTTTTCAAGAAAAGTTTTGATTCAAAAAATTTTTTGCTTTTTACCAGAAAAGTTCTAGTACAAAAAAGGCATATTGAAAGAGCGTTTGCGCGTTGTTAGTCTTCTGACATAATTGAAAAAAATACAATCTGTGCCACAGAAGTCTGACAAAGTTCTCATTATTCGATTTGATCAGACTAATACTGACAAATATTGATACCCGTTTCTGCTAAGGAAAAAAACTTCACTCAGGAGTGTCTAAGAGAAGCCCTTTCTTTCAGATAAAATTATATTTTTTCTTCTTTAAAAATTTCTAAAAAGCAAACCTCTCTTGTAAGCATCAAAACCTAATGTCTATGCTGCTCTTTAGCTTTTTGGGCTTGTTTCAAAACCAAATCGTAGTGTGCGAGAACAAGCTCCCATTTGACCTCAAGCTTCAGGTCTACTACAGGCTGACCAGTTTCGACTGCATTAGTGGTACCACGAGAAATTTCTAGACGCAAAATAAACGACCTTGAGTCGCCAAAAAAGAATTTTGCTGAACAAAATAACTCAGTCTGGAAAGTTGGGAAATAAGAGAAACATATTATGCTTAGACAGGTTGGATACTTTTTCATATAACTTCTGCGAATCGCAGAAACCAGAACTACATATTACATTACATTAGAGAAAATGCAATTATCTTTTCCTTACTCATATATATTTCAGGTACCCTGAAAAAACAGTCAGAACATTCAAGACTTTGTTTCGCTCCGAAAGGCTTTGTTGATATTTCCGGCCCTGTCATTTTAAATCGGCCTAACTTCAGAATAATTTCGTGAATTATCAAATCGCTTAAATTGTAAGAAGTTAAAATTTTGTCTGGTTTTTGTCTACTTATTTTGTTTCCTGCTATAGAGTTACTTTTTTGAATTGATTGATCTTTGTCCAAAAAATGTTTCAAATATCTGTCTTTTTTCAGTTTTTATAAAAAAATATATATGCACTGTCCGTCTATCAAAAACTTAAAAAATATATGCACCGTCTATCAAAAACTTAAAAAATATATGCACCGTCTATCAAAAACTTAGGACTGTTGAAACACTTAATCTCTTCAACACCTTTTAGGTTGAAGACCTAGGGTTTTTGTAGATTAGCTTAAAAGAAATTAACCTTAAGACGTGACAAAACGTGATAGTTCAAAAAGTAATAATTATTTCGTACTTTTTTTCGAAATTAGGAACAATTATACAACACAAACTGAAGAAAAGATAATTATAAAAATATTTTAATTAATTGAAAAATTTTTTTAAACCAACATCTTCTGCGCGTTTTTGTTCTGCAAAAATGAAAAGTTAGTCAACCAATTAATAGTGAGTGAATAGATACCATTAGGGGGGATTGCGTAGTTTCTATGGTAAGCCATTTGGAAGCAAATGGAGGTTAGTTTGGGCGGTTGAACCGAACACTTATCAAACTGGAGTTATTTACTATGTTTATAGTGTTTTAATTTATGACAATGTAATCGATTTAAAAAAATAATTATAATTTTGATTTTAATTTAAATTCTTGTGTTTAGGGAAACCAGTGCCATGCAGTACATCAACAGAAATAAAACAAGGTATTGAAAGAAAGCTTGAACAAATTTACCAATGGGTGTGTAGAAGTTACAAACGCCCGATTTGAAATGCTTAAATGTGTATCAACCGTGTGGGTTCACAAAATGTCAGATTTCTATTGACAAATGTTCTATTGAAAAATGGGGTGCTGAAAATATGATGGGTATTTCGCTCCCTCCAACCGCTTTCCGGGTAGAAATAGAGTGATTTTGTAGATTAGGTTGAATTGAGGCATCGAGCCAAGTCATTTGGTTCAACTACTAGGATACACTAGACGCTAAATGCATCCCTTTGTAGTTAACATTTATTTCTCGAGAGGAAATTTCATATGAATGTCGATCAAAACAGCTTGTATATCAAGGCAAAGCCCTGAATGTTCCGGCTGCACTTTAAGGCAATTAAAAAGCTTTCTGATTTAAAATTGAGGAAGAAATTGGAAAAAAAAAGAAAACAAGTTTTTTTTTCATTTTTCTTCAATTTTCAATCTGAAAGCTTTCTAATTGACCTTGAAGTGCAGCCGGAACATTCAGGGCTTTGCCTTGATATACAAGCGGTTTTGATCGACATTCAAATTAAAGGTCCATGAAAACGTGGGTGATTATTTATTTGGAAAAGGCCGACAAAATTTTCGCAACATTTTGAAAATCCGCCCTCTCCCCTCGAGAAAGACCTAGATCCGCCCCTGCTGCTATGTAACCCTCAGTTAAGCATAGTCACAGGACGGCGACGCTCCGTTGCGTATCTCTCATTTAGCGAACAGTTCCCTAATTTTACCATCAGTGTAATGTAAGTAATTTTTCAGTTTTTGCGCGTTGATTGGTTTAAGTAAATGCAAGGCAGGTTATGGCTCTTCTTTATTTTTGTGTTTAGAGCTTCGGAACTTTGGTTCTCACTATTTCGAACTTCATCTCATTACGTAACACTGTCAAAAAGATTGACCACATTGATTTTCCGAGTGCCCCGAGGCAAAATTTTAAAAAAATGTCTAAAACGCCGTTTTCGGCACTTTTTGAAATACTTCGACCAAAAAATTGCGTCCTCCTCTAAATCGACCCATGCGTAGCTGTCAACTACAAAATTTACAAGTTGAGACGTAAGCCTTTGCCATTCAGTGACGAATGTCTCATATAGTAGAGACAAAATATGATTTTGATGTTATCTTTTCAGTCAAAATACCCGCCCAATGAACGTGGAGCTCAGAATGCGGGCGAAACTTATCAGAAAATCTCAACTCGCTCAGGAGAACATCAGAAGAAATCAACTGAGTCGCCCACAAACAGCGTAAGTTCTCTTAGGATCTACTTAACAATTGCCCCCCTTCAAGAGGGGGAGGGCGTTGGCAATTGTTAAGTAGATTAAGTTACCCCCACCCCGTAAAATTAGATTGCAGCAAAAATCATTTTTTAAATAGAACTTATTTGATTTTATTTGAGAAATTTGACTCAATCTGGAGCAAAAAAGGTTATTCTAATTTTTTTTTATTTAGTTCGAGGTTTTTAAGCTTTTAGAAATTAAAATGTTAAGTTAATTTCAAGTTTGCGCTTTCAAGAAAAAATTTGCATCACAATTTTTCAATTTCTTTTCATTCGCATCTCTTTTGCATGACAAAAATGATGTTTTTCTCGCGAACTTGTTTCAGTTTGGCCTCAATTTACTAAATATCTAATCATACAATGCCCATATATGGTAGATTGTTAATAGTGGAAGTTTCCTGCACTTATTTAAATGCATGAAGTGTACCGACAGTAGCGGATTTAAAGCGGGGAAACGCTTTTTTTTGGGAAAGCATTTAGTCAGCCTAAAAAAAGGTCGACAAATTTTTCGAAACTTTTTTGAAAATCCGCCCCCTCCCCCTCCCCCTCGAGAAAATCCTGGATCCGCCACTGTATATCGACCACTTGTGCGAATTGTATGACTGCCATTTTAAGTCAATTCGTAGCTGTAACTAACAAATTATTACTCAGAAATATATGATCCCATACATAATAGACGCACAATTTGGTGTTTGTAGGTCTCTGGAACCCAGAGACAACTCTTTAAACATGTTAAAATTTTATTGGGCGGTCAGAAAAAAAAAGAACAAAAAAGAGCAACGAGAGCGTCTTTCTTGCGGAATCCTTGTACAATCACAAAATACACAGTTTGGACTCGTAATGATGTGTGTTTAGGATATCCCGAGATGGCACTTACCAAGACTCGGGAGTAGGTACTTATAGCACTGGTTATATAAACTCTGAGCCAGGCGAGTATCTCAATTCGAACTCCGGTCCATCTCAGCAAACTTTTGTGACAAGCGAATACGTGATCACTGATTTGGATAACATTTCTGACAAAATGCCGGCCGAATATGCTAACCCAAATTTGAACGATTCCCAGTCTAGTATAAATCCAGTCGAATACCGTAACTCTAATTTGGATGGAGACCAGGATGGAAGGCCAGCCGAATATGCCAACCCAAATTTGGATCAAGATCGGCTGGAGGCGAGGACAGAAGACATTGAGACAAACTTCGCGATATCGACTCGAAAGCCGAGTCAATTACCGAACGTTGACGAGTAACAATGAGCTGAGAACCAATAAGAACCTGAAAACTTCTATAATTAAATTTGTGCTTAAAACTAAATGTTACCCAACAAAATAACGAATGTATAGTTTTTTACTAGAACTAAACAATCAATGACTCATGGGTCATAACTCGAGTGTGGGCTTATTAAATTGCGAATTTTGAAAAAGTTTATTAATCGTTTGCAAAACACTAACTTAGTTTTTTCTTTATTTGTAAAAAAAACTTTTGAAGTGCAATTTTTAGCGCGTTTACAATCATCCGTTTAAAAGTTCAACCCCATATTTCGGTGTGTGTAACCCGTAAAGGCCGACATATTTGCGCAAAAGTCCATTCAGATTTTTTCAAACAAATTTACTTTCTGTAAGCCGCAGATGCATCAAAAGTTTATGACTTATCTTCAGTGGTATCACTTATTCTGATTTTAAACTGACTTATTGTTAAAAAAGAAATAAGAAACTAAAATTGCGCATGGTCTGTTTTATTGCAATGTTAACTTCCTCAAAAAAGTTCGTAGGCTTTGTGGTCTTTTCGCAAAACTCTTAACACATCCTTCTTTTAAAGATCTTTTAGTCTTGATTTGAATGCGAAACTTGGTTTGGTTTTTTGCTATTTTTGCAAGGTAAGGCTAAAGAAACTACCCTAGCTTGGGGTCTATCAAACTTTGAATGCACCTGAGCAAACATTGATGCCATCAAAAGACAAAAGAACTGAATTGAATGAAATTCTGACGCAAAGACGACAGCTAAAATTGCCAGCACCAACTTGAACGAGTCCAAATTTAGTAAAAATCCGTTCGAGTACTCTAACTCTCAGCTCGACGGTGATGATGATAAAAAGCCGACCGATTAGACCAATCCAAATTTGGACCAACGTCAGCTAGATGCGAGGCGTTGAGAGGTATTGACATAGCCTTGACGATTATCAAACTGAGATCAATTCATTTCTATAAGTTCGCCTTGCACCTTCATTAAATTAAGCTCTCTCTTTCTCTCTCCCTCTCTCTCTCTCTCTCTCTCTCTCTCTCTCTCTCTCTCTTTCTTTCTCTCTCTCTCTCTCTCTCTCTCTCTTATGATGAATGGATCAAAACTCAACAAAATAAATTTCCAAAAAAAAAGGTTTGTTACGTCGTGTTTCTAGAAAGTAACCTGTAATTTGGAGAATCGGGTTGAAAATTTGATCTGGACATTGTTTTTTGTACTGGACTTCCCGGGTTGAGGTGCTCGAACTATATTTTGACTTAGCAAGTCGAGCAAGTGCTCGCTTGCAACCAAAAATTTGCGATCGAGAAGCAAATTTAAGTCGAGCACAAAGTCGAGCCATTCCCAATTTTGGTCAAAAAAGTCGAAACACTTTCAGTTACTGAGAACTCAAAACAAAATGAAGTTGTTGATTGTCCCAATCATAGGGACAAAATTTGTATCTTGAGACGATTGCAGAAAATAAAAGATTCTTCAGGTCTTGTTAAATCACTTAAGTCAGAGACGGACGATGGGCTGTCGAGCTGTTCGAACTTTCCAGAGCGGCCCTTACTAGATGAAATGCAAACTGATAAACCGGTTCTGCCGGAGATTGAACATTTGAGGGGCAAACTGACAGATGAACAGCTCGAAGCCATCAAGGACGTACTAGAGCGGAACGAAGAAGTTTTTTCGAGACATAAAGCGGATATCGGGTGTTGTAATTTCGTTGAGCATGAAATAGAACTTGAGGAGAACGCGGTACCGCACAGGGAGGGGGCGAGGCGCATGACCCCACACAAATCGGAGGCGTGTAGAAAAGAAATCGAGACATTACTAGAGTATGACATGATAGAACCATCCAAGTCACCGTGGGCGTGGGGAGTAGTGATGGCCAAAAAGAAAGGGACCAGTTGAGGTTTTGTTGTGACTTTCGATACCTGAACTCCGTCACGGTGAAGGATGCCTATCCCATACCTAGGATTGATGAGAGCCTCTCGAAGTTAGGTGATGCAAAATTTTTTACGACTCTTGATTTAGGCTCGGCCTTTTGGCAGGTACCACTAAGGAAGCAGGACAGGGACAAGACAGGGTTTGCCTGCGAGTTGGGTCTGTTTCAATGGAAACGGACGCCGTTTGGACTTTGCAATGCCACAGCCACGTTTCAGCGGTTGATGGCACACGCGCTGATAGGCGTGACGAAGAAGTATGGCAATCTCGTAATGTGCTACGTGGATGACGTAGTAATAGCGACGCCCACACTAGAAGACCACATTGAGAGACTTGACGAAGTGTTTGCATGCATGAAAAGGTCGGCGCTAAAGTGTAAACGATCAAAGTGCGAGATACTCAAGGACTCGATAAAATACTTGGGCAGGATGGTAGACAAGCACGGCATCAGACCTGATCCGGACGCCGTGGAAGCAGTCCTAACCTGGAAATCACCGAAGACAGAACACCAGTTGATGAGCTTCCTGGGTTTCGCTAACTATTATAGAGAGTTCATCAAAGGCTATGCGGACAAGGTATACCCGATGCAACAATTAATGAGAAACAAGGGCAAGAAGTTCACGTGGAACAACGCAGCAGAAGAGTCATTCCAGAGAATAAAGAAAGAGCTATGTGAGGCACCAGTACTGGGTATGCCGACTGAGAAAGGGATGTACGTGCTGGTAGTCGCGATTTCTGGAATTCTCCATCAAGAACAAGAATGGATTGGGAAGACAGTCTTGAGACCAATAGCGTACGGGAGCAAAGTCCTAAGTGACACGGAAATGAAGTACGGAGCACCGAAAGCAGAGATGTTCGCGGTGGTTACCTTTGTCGAGAAATACAGGGCATACCTGGGCAGTGAGCCATTCAAGTTGCGAGTCGACAACAGAGCACTGAGCCGGCTGAAAACGTACTCAATGGACCAAAGTTACATTGGGAGGTGGATAGTTCGCCTGGACGGATACAACATGATAATTGAGCATAGAACACGAGATAAAAATCAGAATGCCGACAGCTTGAGTAAGAAGACGGAGTTCTATGAGAGACAAGAGCAAAGAACCTCCGGGAAAGACCATCTTGAAGAAGAGCAGAAGGATTCCGATAGAGATAATACTCAAGTCGAAGATCGTGAGGGAGACGCTCAAGGCAAAAGGCTATGATCTTAACCAGGTAGAAGCGGGAACTGCACAGATAGATGATGACTTAATGAGGTTGCTCGAGAAACTATCAGATGATAAGCCCGTGATCCAAGAGAAGAGTCAAGAGGAACCGGAAGTCACTATACTTCGGAGAAAAGAAACAGTGAACAATACTGACTCCTCAAGAGGAAGCGTCACTGACAGCAAAGATGTCGTGCGGTCACTAGTTGACAAAATCCCCGAAAACATTCTGGAGCAGACCAAGGTTAGGAAAAAGAAAGTGGCGTTCAAAGAAGATACTGAACACCTGGGACTAGGTCAAGAATCCGGGGAGTGGTCCATGTTCACGGAAGAAGAAACCGGAGAAGGAAAATTGTCCGGTGAAGAATGGGATGAAGACTCGGATGAGAGCAGCGAAAATCAAGACAGTCTGTGCATGATATTGGCGGAAGAGAAGATAAGGAACCACGACAGGGAGTTACAGACGGATCCATCTTCAGGAACGTACAATCTGGACATACAGGATATACGAGGTGGTGAAGAACTTGAGAAAATTGCGGTTTCAAGGAAGCCATTCAGGGAACTATCATGCAACTCAAACGTCAGAACGAATCTGGTGCCAGAAGGTGATATGAAAATCGTGAAAAGGATGATATGCGTGAAGCTGAGTGATGACATCCACAACCCTGGTGAGATGAATGGACAGATCATGGCGCTAAAGGAGCATGTCAAGGCGAGATATAGGCTGTCAGACCTAATAAGAGCCCAAAAGAATGACAAAATGACAAGTAACCTATCCAAATGGATCCAGTCGGGGATCAAGGAGAAGGGGGAACTCGAGGAAGACAGCTACAAGATCTTGAGCCAGTTCTACAAAGAAAAGAAAGACTTACTCTACCACACAGCTGATGGGGTGGTAGCATGCAAGAGGAAAGATGAGGAGAAGATATTACACAAACACAACCTCATCATACTACCACAATTGTATCAAACGGAGGTGCTTTTCAGATCGCACGACCAGATGGGGCACCAGGGGATAGATAAAGTACAACAAAGGATACTTCACAGGTTTGATTGGCCAGGAATGAGAAAAGCTTGCGAGAGATGGGTGAATGCCTGCCTGGCATGCCTCCAGGTAAAAGACCCAAGGAAGATGAAGTTCCCCCTCAAGTCCGTCGAGAGCTCAGAGTTCAATGAAGTGGTGCAGATAGACCATCAAAAAATCTGCATGACGGAGTCAGGATATAACCAGATACTGGTTATAATAGATCACTTCACAAAGTTGGCGGAAGCGGTTCCGTGCCAGACAGCCTCGGCCGAGGAGACATGTGATCATCTGATAACGCATTGGATATCGCGGTATGGTTGTCCAATGACTTTCCAGTCGGACAACGGCAAAGCTTTTGTGGGGGACTTGACAAAAGAATTGATGAGGAGATCGCACATTGCTCAAGCACACTCGACGACCTACCATCCACAGACCAATGGGTTGGTAGAGAGACAGAACAGGACACTGGTCAACATGTTAAGGGTGTACTGCTCAAGATACATGACGGACTGGGATAAATACCTGCCACAGGTAGTAGGGGCCTACAACAGTACACAGCACTCAACGACGGGCATCAGTCCTTTCATGATGTTGACGGGCAGGGAGAGAGCAATGCCTCTGACATTCTTTTACCCGGAATACGAGGGGAAAAGGACGTCGCCTCAGGCGTACGTGAAAGAAGCGATCAAAAGACAACAGGAGCTAAACGAGCTATGCAGGAGGAACACGGCGCAAGCGCAAATGAGACAACGCAGAAAATATGACGAAAAAATATTACAAGCAAAGCCATATGGAGTGGGCCAATACGTGTCGGTCTTCCAAAATGTCATACCGCCCAAAGGAACAAAGAAACTACTCAAGAAGTGGAGGGGACCATTCATGATAACGGAAGTGCATCAACAA